AACATTCGAGGTGGTTATGCACTCAAGGTAAATTATGTGCCTGTTTGACAACCATTTCAATTTTAGTTTTTAGTTTTTAGTTTTCATTTTTTATGGTAGAATATAGAGGAAAACGAGAGTGAGAATGAGAGTGAGGATGAGAGAGAAAAGTAACACAAGTGAAAACAAAAACTTGAAAGAGAAAACAATTTCAAATAGATTTCAATTTTTATTTTTTATTTTCACTTTTGTTACTCCTTCCTCCCTCCTCCCCTCTCGTTTTCCGTCTCAATCTCATCTTCACTCTCATTCTCCCTCTTTTTCCTTTATACTCTAGCACAAAAAATGAAAAATGAAAACTAAAAACTAAAATTGAAATGGTTATCAAACTGGCCCTATATTTTCAATTCGAGGTGGTATCCTCCACTGCACCATACCTCACCTTATCAAACCAATTAGCAAGCGACATGTCAATCCTATCATAGCATATTGTAGCAAATCTTTTTAAAGAACTAGTCTTTCCATCAAGATCTCCGCCAATTTTTCAGCTACATATGGTACATGCTAAGATATTTTGCGAATTTTATGTATGTTGTATTCTTTTCCATAAGGAAGTTTATATAGGAGTAGGTTTACTATCTTTCTTCCAAAATGTTATAATAAAAGTCCAAACTTCGAATCTACCCTCCCCCAAAGTTCAAAAAACATGTACAAAAGTTAAGTCTCCATGCTTAATTAGAACTTATATTATAGTCACTCTCTAAACTACATTTCCAACCAACAACCACAATAAAATATCATCTCTCTCCTTCGTCTAAGTACAGAAGTTCAACAACGTGTAAATTCTACATAAAAACTATATATAAACTCAGCAATTGATCATTATTTGATCTTCCAGTGAATACCTTATAGTGATAGAGTGATGTAAAGGCCAGTGTTTATTCTATGCTAATGCTGCTCCTTTTTTTCCCCCTAAATTTCTAACATGTGTCGTTGCAGGGTGAGCTTGCTCTTGCCTTTGGTGAGTTGTTGAGGAAATTGTGGTCCTCGGGTCAGGACAAACAAACAATTGCACCACGTTCGTTCAAGGGCAAACTTGCTCGATTTGCTCCTCAGTTTAGCCAGAAAGACTTACTTTTAATCGGGATAATCATAGCAATGTTTTGCTATCCCGGCCAATGACGCAATGACACATGGCTACTTTTTCTTGTAGTTGAGTTTCTAAGTCCCTATTATTGCATGTAAACTTGTAAGTGTACTAAATCCAAGGTATATCGGGATAATATCGATATTATGACGATAACATCATGGTTAGTTGCTAAAATATCGGCCCCCCAAAAATCAGATATTATCGGGATAATATTGATATTTAAGACCTTGAGATAACTTCAACATTTTTATGAATGATTTGGGCAAAATATCGATAATATCCCGATAATATCCCGATACGAAACCCAAAAAATACATGAAATTTTTTGAAAAGCCTCCCCTATTGCGCATAGAGGGATTCGAACCCCTCCCATTTTACTCATTCAACACCTTAACCACCATATCACTTATGTTTTTGTGAAGTCAAGAAGATGACTCGTAGAGAAAGAGGCAAGGGGACTTTGTCAGGTCAAGAAAATGACTCGTTATCTATAACTTCGGACTCTGTTGGAGTATGAAGTAGTAATTATGGTTATACTCATAACCAACCATTTCTCTACCCTTCATACCCCATTCCTGTTGGGATGGAATCAAGCGACTCATGGAAAGAATCCGAGACTCAATCTTCAAATGATTTTGCTTATGGACAACGTCAACCAATCTCGGATCCATATGGGTGGCATGTTAACAATTACATGCAAAACTATTTTGGGGATTTATCATTTGATGACTACTCTTCAAAATATACTTACTCTACACATAGAGATGATGAAGATAGTGAAAATTTTGAACCTCATAGGAACTCTATGTGGTACTAAGTCACTCATGTATCTTACCATGCAATGTATAAAGTGTAAAATATTGTAGTAATTCATTATATATAAATTATTATGGTGTGTTTAATCTTCTTTCATTAATTACTACATATTTTCTACACTTACAGTGTTTGCCAGCTCGCTATATAATCAACTTAAATCAGTTAAATCCATCATGCAATGCATTTCCTTCCAATTTTTTGTGATAAACTAATAGATAATTGACTAAAATAACATCCTGCAAAGTTTCAATAAAAATTTCCAAGTTTTTCTTACAATTTCCTTGGTTTTTATTCAATTTTTACCAATACCGATAATATCCCGATATTTCCTTCGATATTTCCGTGTTTTTGGACTTCCGATATTTCCGATACCACCGATATTTTAGACCTTGTCGCATCTGAACTTTCTGATATCTTTGCTTTCATATACACATTGAAATGGCACCTAGTGAAGATGCATACAAGGGTCTATACAGGACCTAAATAGAATTTGGAAACAAATAAGTTAAAGAGGTTGATGAAGGAAGTTGAGGTTCCACCCCAAAACCAATGGGGGGAGTAGCCCAACTCCTTATAAACCCAGGCTAGGTCCCTTAACATTTCAATGTGGGACAAATACTCTCAACACGCCCCCACACGTGTGGCGAACTTTCAAGCCTAACATGTGGACAACACATATTGGGGGACGTGGGAGCACGTGTGGCCGTTGGGCCCAACACATGAAACCTGGCTCTGATACCAAGGCAGCAACACAATGACAGGGCTTGAGTGGCCGATACCAAGTCGGCAACACAGGGGAAGAAACAGGGGCTATGCAAAGGGAACACCGGCAGTGTGACACGGCAGAGAAAGCTCGGTGAGCGTTGATGAGGCTCACGGAGGAAAGAGAGACAGCTCGGTGAGCGATGACATGCATCATCAACAAACAAGGGGAAAGTATGGAAACTACGATAGAGAAACCATCAGAAATACATGAGAGAGAGAAACCACGATTGCAGACTAGGATAAGGCTCGGCGAGCATTGACAAGGCTCGTAGAGGGAAGAGAAACAGCTCGGCGAGAGAGACGGCGCGAGGGAGACAAAGAAGTGGACAAAGATTTCAAGAGAAAGAGAGAAACCAACAATAGAGAGGCATGGTCTCTGAGGGAAAACAGAGATATGACCATCATGCCAAGAGACGGACATGGATAAGGAGTGGGACTAGGTATCTGAGGAGTGGAAGAGGCACTAGGCTGTGGAGGAGAGGGAAAAAAAAATCATCTTTGAGAAGAGGAGAGGAAAAAGGACTATACAGAAACAAACACTCTTACAGGTGATGAGTGCCAACGACTCTCAATGTTGGCAGTTGGAGAATCGCTAATCGGCGTTAGCCATTAGCTCTGATACCATGTAGAAACTGTATATTCGATTATTATATTTGAGATATTACAACCTATATTTATACCCAAACTATAAGATATCTTCCTAGTGGTTACAATGAAACGGAAAACCCATTATCCTAATAAAGGCTAATAACAACATAACAGCTAAAACACTAATGTATTGTCATTAAAGATCCTTAACTATGGTAACTCCAGTAACCCCCTAACACTCCCCCGCAAACTTGACGCCGGAGAGGTGACAAGTTTGGAAATAAGACGTGAAAAGAAGGAATATTTGATAAGAGGAGAGGAAAAAGGACTATACAGAAATAAACACCCTTACGGGTGAGGAGTGCCAACGACTCTCAATGTTGGCAGCTGGAGAATTGCTAATCGGCGTTAGCCATTAGCTCTGATACCATGAAGGAAGTTGAGGTTCCACCCCAAAACCAATTGGCAATGGGGGGGAGTAGCCCAACTCCTTATAAACCCAGGCTAGGTCCCTTAACATTTCAATGTGTGGGACAAATACTCTCAATAGTTCAAAGCTTGCGGAGGATGGCTGATTTCTGCTTTTGAAATAGTGATTTTGTGTTTTGCATGTTGTTTCATGCTCACTTTTCTTCATTATTGTAAGCTTCTAAAGTAGGTATCATGATTCCATTTCCAAGTAGACCACATCAGATTCAAAAGACTCGGTGCTTCACTCATCTTCCAAAACATCTTTAACAGGGAATACTGCAGCTCCTGCAGGCTCGAGAGAGCTTGCTGGATCTCTGCCCAACCAGAAGGCTTTACATGTGCAAATTAAGTGTTCAGCTTCAAAAGTGTTGCAGAGAGGTGAAAAGTTGAACCAGACAACTTCATACAAGGCGTACATGGAAGCATTATTATAAATTTCTGTGTATAATGTGGGAGCAAATTTCCTCCCACGAGAATATTCGCCCAAGATTCCTTCGTCTTCTCCGCTTCTCTTTCTCCCTGCAAAATAAATCGGAGTAAAAGGACCACACCCGGGGGGTGTTGGCCAAAGGCCCTCCGATGCCTAAGATAGATTGGGTGTTTCAAGGAAAACCGGGTGGCTGGAGCCGTGTGTGGTGGCCGGAGCCTTGTGTGAGAGAGAGAGAATAGGAAGGGAGAATGGTTTATAAGAAATAATTTATGCAGAGTTTCAGTAGGAATTCAGACGTACCTCAATCCTCGTGTGTAGCCAATATTTATAGAGGGTCTCAGAGGCTTTAATTTGGCGAGGTTGGTGGGGTTGGTGTATTTAGGGGTTAGGGATTTACCAAATCCCTAATTAAGACAAAAATCAAAGACATCTAATTTAAATCAAATAACCTCCTAATTAATTCAGATAACTCCCAATTAGGTTTGGTAACCCCAAATTAGGTCAAATAATTCCCAAATTGATTGGCCTAATTATTTGACCTAGAATGAGATATTTTGCTTCCACATATAACATCTACAAATCCTTCAAAGAAGTACCTAATATCGTAATCAAGTTCATCTAACGTAACAGTGGGTGAACAGCGTACTTGTGAAAAGTGATGAAATAAATTTCGTTATTTAATCACCTGCTGGCTTAAGTCTGTAATTATGAAGACGATTGATTTCATTAGGATACCTTGGGAACACGATCGACTAGCCGAGCCCATTCATGTCGATTCGGAAAGCAATCAAGAACAACCTATGAAGGACTTGTGTATGCATAACGCTCTCCATTATGCTTTCTCAGGTTATGCCAGTGCTGCAAATAGAAACAAAGAAGAAGAAAAACAAACAAAGAAGCTTATTATTCTACACCCAATATGGGAGACAACAATTACACAGAAAACAGCGAGCATTCTATTGAAAGCAATCATACCGGCAGCACAGCATTACAAAGCTCCTCATATGTCATGCGCCTGCCTTTACTCATAATCTCATTTATCAAGCCTAGATAGGGAGAAATGAATGAGCAAACAATGAATAAAAATCTAAGTAGAAATAGGAAACCTTAAAGAAAGATTACAGCTACCTGGAAAAGTACGATGACCAGGACCAACTGCGCCTGTATCATCATCAGAGGCATTTCTCGGTGAACTGCGTACCGATGACACATTCTGATCAGTAGCCTCAGTGGATGAAGATGGTCCACTGTTTGCAGTGGCAGTGGAGGCAGAATGGATGTTCCTCTTGCTGGAATGTACCGCCGTTGAAGATGAACTGTCCTCCCTCTTAGCAGCAACATCCGATGTACATGCTGCATCTTGTCTTCTTTGATCTGAAGAAGATGGTACCCTGTCAACCCTTTTAGCTTCATCATCAAGTTCATGGGAACTTCGGAACCCATCTTTAGATGCATCCCTGACTTTTCTTCTAGAGACCTATAGATTGTATCAATGGGATTAGTTAGCAGAACCATGACTCATAATGTTTTTTTTATCTAAATTTTTATGTAGGAACGACTTTCTTAGTAACAAAACCAACCAGTTTTAACAGTTTACATTGGAATGCGAATATATTTTCCAGAGACAAAACAAAATTTGACATTGTAGCGAATTGTGATCCTTTCCTCCAGAACTAGATGCACGCTTCATTAACATGCTTGTTGCACTTGGAGAGGCCAACTGGGGTAAGGTAGATGCATTGCGAACACGTGGTACACGAGGTACTCTCGGAGACCTATTGAGTTGTTGTTGCAAAAGTAATGCAAGCTGCCAAAATCCCCACAAAATATATAAGGCTTTTTATCACAAATGGTCCTTAAAGTTTACGATTTTATCACGAATGGTCCTTGAGGTTTTTTTGTGACACTAATAGTCCTTAACGTTAGAGCTTTTTATCACAAATGGTCCCTCCGTTAAAAATTTTGTTAAGTGTAATAAGTGGAGCCCACATGTCCAATCACATCATGACATGTGGATTAAATAAATAAATAAATATTATATATTTTTTTTAATGAAAATCCACTCTCTCTCTGTCTCTCTCCCCCTCCCCTCTGCCCTCTCTCCTCCCTGTGCTCTCCCTCTCCCTCTGTTGTTTTTTCCTTGCCTCTACAGCCCGCATGCCCACCCACCCGCAACCCACCCCTCTCCCTCTGTATATTTTGCATAATCACTTGCACAAGGTAGTTTCACATTTCCTTTTACGCAAATATTTTTTCAAACAACTTAAAATAATTAAAAACAGAGGGGTAGAGTAGAGGAGGAGAGAAAATACAGTGGGAGAGGGTAGGGGAGTTGGGCGTGGGTTGCGGCTTGCGGGTGGCTGTGTTAAAAAAACAGAGACTAATAAAAGAATCCCAAAGACAATTTTTTCTTGCAGGTGGCAGGCAATGGGCAAGAAAAAAACAAAGGGGGATTGTGGGTTATGATTTATATACCACTATACAAAGATGGAGAAAGATATATGGTTTATATTATTATTTTTACAGAGGGAGAAGGAGAGGACAGGGGGGAGAGAGGGAGAGCAGAGGGGGAGAGAGGGGGCAGAGGATGGAGAGCAAGGGCAGAGGGGAAGAGAGATGGAGTAGAGGAAGGGGGATGAAAAGTTGTAGAAAAAAAAAAGGAATTTTCATAAAAAAAAATTATTTAATTATTTTTCCATCCACATGTCACAATGTGATTGGAATATGGGCTCCACTTGTCTTCCACATCAGACACTTAACAGAATTTTTAACGGAGGGACCATTTGTGATAAAAAGCCCTAACGTTAAGGACTATTAGTGTCACAAAAAAACCTGAAGGACCATTCATGATAAAATCTTAAACGTTAAGGACCATTTGTGATAAAAAGCCAATATATAAAGAAATGAAACTCTTCTCTCACTTCCTCGTCAGTTAGTTTTGCCTGCAAACTTGATGGTGCAGGTGGACAAGCAGGCAGATGTCGGGTGACTCTGATTAGTCTTAGATGAAGTTGTCTGGTTGAACTTTTCACCTCTCTGCAATGCTTTTGAAGCTGAACACTTATTTTGCACATGTAAAACCTTCTGGCTGGGCAGAGATACATAAGGCTCTCTAGAGCCCGCAGGAGCTGCAGTATTCCCTGTTAAAGATGTTTTGGAAGATGAGTGAAGCACCGAGTCTTTTGAATCTGATGTGGTCCTCTTGGAAATGAAATCATGATTCCCACTTTAGAAGCCTACCCAAGCCATGGTTTCTGGTTTGTAGGAGTCAATTGACACCCCTTGCCCCAGTGTGGATCCGCCAACGCATGTGCAGAAGAAGCACAACATGAAGCTGAGTGTTGTGGTGGAGGAGGCTATTTGTCGTGGTGCTATTGCAGAGGAACGATTTCTGCACAATCATGAAGAACGCTTTAAAGCACAAAGCCAGTCTATGGACATGGATCATTTTCTGATGACACTTGGACTACATAAGGGTATTTTACTTTAAAAATAGTTGAATTTCTTGTTATCAATGATTTCTGGACATTTTAATTCATTTTTTGTTCAGTTGGTTGCATGAGTCTTGCTCCCTGGGCAGAACCTGCATCGTCAAGTTCATTTGAGGTAACTTTTGAATTTCCCTTTTACTTTTTCTGCAATCACTTTGTCAGTTTAGATCTTTCGTGACGATACTGTTTGTTTGTCTTTGTTTTCAGCCGGAGTCTCCCCCGAGGTATTCGGATTTGGAAGAGATGTATGAGGATGAACTATCAGTCTACCCTGGCTGTTTGACAACCTTGACTCTTCACCTCCTTTCTCTCCAGAATCACCAAGTTTCCACACTGTTTCCTCTTTGTTTTCGGAGGACTGTGACTTCCAGTTGATGTCAACACCATAGCTTTCAAGAGATTGATTCCCCTCCAATCTCCAAAATACGTATAGTGTGAGGGAGCATAAATTTGAACTTGACTACGCCTTTGGATGTTATTGCTTGTTACAAGACTATGCAGTTAACGGTGATGAATGTTTGATTCTTTTGTTCAACCCACATTGATGATCTGATATATTTTGACGTATCTGAGCGAAAAGTTTGAAGCTCTCAAAGCCTCTCTGTCTGTTTGGAGTTTGAAATTTCTGAATTTTAGTCTCATTCTTACTCGTTTGGCTAGAAAATGTTAGCCTTGAAGTTCATGATTCATGAGAACAAAAAGAATATGCAACTTCTAGGTGAAACCTTAATTCATGAATCTCGGTTGTGTGGGTTTCTTTTCTTCCTTCTTCAATGGTGCAGAGTTGTTCTATAAACTATCACCTTTTTTAATTCTCACCAAAAACGAAAAAGAAAAGAAAAAAGAACACCTGTAAAACAATTTTGACAGTGACACGAAGTAAAAGGTAACATTAGTAACATTAGCTGCCCTTTTAAACTAGAGAGAGCATTTCTCAGCACAAGCTACCTCTCTGTTGGGGAGGAGCCTTATCAACATCCATGAATGATAAATCTCTTAGCACGGATCGAATTCGACAATCGAAAAAAATTTAAGTAAAAATATGATCACAGAGTTTTGTATTAACCAAATTCGTAAGTTGGAGATAAGTGGACAGCTGACATTATCACAATAGACCTCCTACAATTACCACTACCAAGAACCAGAGCCCAAAACCATGGAGAGATATAACGCCGGCCAATTTGGATGTGCAATCCATCATTCACACGTGGAACACAACACTTCATGATTATGGTAATATTTTAGCTAATTCAATTACAGTGGTTCTGTATAAACAAAAACATGTGAGCATCATTTGAGCATGTTTATCAAATAACTATCTTTTCTGTACAATATATTCAAATCAAGAACTCGTGTCTTCAACTTATTCAGCA